TTAGCAAAGCATCAGGGACCGCGCGGTTCAATCCCCCAGCACCACATGCCAGCCAGCCCCGCCCCCTGGTGGGCTGAGCTGGCCACACACACACACCACACACACTCACTCTTTCTCTCTTAAATAAATAAATAAATAAATAAATACAAGATACTGAGGATGTAAGTCAGATCTCTTCAGACTTTCCATGCATTTACCAGAAATGCACTATGAACAATTTTAGATCTCAATTTAAGTACAGAAAGCTAATCTGATAATGCAGGCAGAAAATTTATTTCAGATATAAAATATAACTTTAGATTAACTTTTTCCCTAAAAGCAGCTAAGTTTTAAATTATGTTTATTACAGTAGTTAAGAGAGCTGGGCACAGTGGTACATGTTTATAATTCCAGTTGCTCAGGGCATTGAGGCAAGGAGGAGCCAAATTTGAGGCCTGCCTGGGCAAATTAACAATCCAGCTCATAGTAAGTGTTCCTGGTTTTGATCCTGCATACCACAAAGAGGGAGGAAGGGAGGGACAGAGGCAGTAGAAAGGCAGGCAGGCAGAAGGAAGTTAGAGCAATGTTGGATTTTGCTTACTATAGGCAATGTTATCTTTGAAAAGACTCCAGTAGAGGTGACCTACAGTCACCCTAGAAACAAATTCTTAAAAGTACTCTGAATATTTCTACTATATACATGGCAGTTCCTTCTTTCAACTTCCCTCTCACTACCAAAAATTACAATAAGTGTTTTAATAACAATACTACTCAGTGGACTAAGCACCTGCTTAGGCAAGCGCAGGGACTGAGGTTCTATCCTCAGTACCATATGCCATGCTTGCCCCACCCCCAGGTGGGCCAAGCCTTCAACTGAGTCCAGGTGGGTGGCGCATGCCTGTAATCGCAGCGCTGGGGAGGCTGAAAACAGAAAGATCACTTCAAGTCTGAGCTGCATAGTGAGACCCTGTGCCAAATACATACATTAAAAAAAAAAAAAAACCTAAAACTAAACCAGCCAGTTACTTAACTGTCAAAAAATTTTAATAATATCACAAAAATCCATACACCCAAATGCATCTTTCAATCCTTACAATAGTGTGACAGAAGAACAACAAGTATTACTGCCTTACTTTGCTGAAGAAACAAGAGGATAAATGTGTTATTTTCCTGGAAGCTTGTCCCTGTGTCACATCCCTACAGCACCTAAGGGTCAGAGGCCTCTGGGGTCAGTGGGTCTTGTATCACTTACCAACACACAGGATGTTGAAACAGAATCCTTGAGATGTAGACTTGTTGACCAGCTGGTCAGGCAGACTGTCAAATCCAACATGGCCAGAAAGCGACAAGTTTCGAAGCTCTTCATTCTGGAATTGCAGAGGAGAAATGTCTGAGAGGCCACTTTTTCCTTCCTGTCTGCTCTATCTTGCCCAGAAAGAGATCCCTTGGTGTCCGAATGCTTCTTGGCTTCCTCACAGAGGGTGGTAGCAGCTCCAAAGCCATGTTCTCTCTATAAAACCAGTGTCCCTTGCAGAGAGACCACTTTCTGGGGCTTCACTTTTAGTTATCTGATCCCAGGAAATAGCTTCTAAAGATGGCATTTTCAGATATGCAATAAGTGACATAAACAAAAACTTAAAACATTTTGATGACTTCCATCATTCATTCAAAACTTTCAATTTAAGTCACAGTTAAATATTCTTCTAAATACTTAAAGGAGCTTTGTTTACAATGATGAGAGAGGAAAATATACATACGTTTCAACTAAGGCAATGTTGTAACAACCATAATGAAATCTTTCTTAATCTTTTCAGCAACACTCTTTTCAGGCTCACTCTCCTGCACCTGCAGAACAGAATCAGGGAGGCTCCTTTCTGTGCTCCTCACACAGGCTGTGCCCCACAGCAACTCTCAGAACATGCTCAAAGACTGGAGAAGGCAGCTAGCAGATGTTTAGAAAGCCAAGTGACTTCACTGGTTGGTTGAGATAATGTTTACTACTTCCACACTGTCAGTGGATCTCATGGAATATCCACATACCAGTTCTCTTTTCACAGATACAGGACTTATCTGGGATCTTTAGATCACAGTTCCTTGGTTATGATTCACAATTCCAGAAGGAAATATTGAAAGCCATTTCCTTGAAGATAAGATTCCTAGTTTTCTGGCTATGTTACCAGTGAACTTCATGTTCAAAATACTGAAGCTTGAGTGAGCTTCACAGTGCCAATTTTTTAAATTAAAAGAAATGTTTTGTATGGAATCATTTAGCCAATAATTCCAAGGACTAGTTCTCATTATTCTTCTATTTTTATATTGTATAACTGTATTAATACTCAAAGATTAAAGTTTTATTGTCAAATTTCTATAGTTAATATATAGGTAGAGAAATGCAGCTCCATTAATGTACTAACTTTAATAGCTTAATAGTCAATACCAACTGTAAAATTCTGATTATGTGAAATACAATAAAAACCCATGACACTGCTTCAGTCCATAGTGGTAGCTGCTGGATTTGAGTTCAAGGGAACAGAGAACAGATGTCTGGTCTATGAAAAGTTTCTTTGAAATCTGCCAATGGCAAGAAGATACTCAAGAGCAGGCATTTATCCTTGAACAAGGCAGCATGCTCAGCCAGGCAGCATGCTCAGCCCATCACACAGATTTGAGAACAGCCCCACAAGTCTCCCAGCAAAACGGGGCTTTGTACAGCCCAACACTGTACCTGCCCTTTCCTTTTCACATGCCCTAAAGGTTCAAATACCAGGTATTTTTAGGGTGTTTACCACATCCGTTAAGACTTGAGGGAGGATCTAAAATGAGTTCCAGGTTATATTTAGAATTTTCCATCACAGCTGCATGATGGCTGCAAGCAGCCCTTACTTCTGCTGCTCCACAGGCCTGAACAGCCTGATGGACATGAAAGGAGCCCAGGCAGGAAAAGCAACATCTCACATTCCCTCTCCTCACCATCACAATGATTCCCTTCATTCTTGCAGGGGTTGGTTACTGCTGTGGACTCTGGCTTCTTGGGTTTCTAGATACCAGATATCCACCATGAGCCAACCCTTGGAAAGAATCAGAGTTTGTAATTATAGCTCTCATCCCAGAATTCAAAGCTCAGCATCTCATTTTCTCACCGTTTTCCAAAACATGAGAAGCCACCCACACACCCAGAGTATATTTATACCCATTGAAAACCACATACAAAAATGAAGGGTTATAAAACATTTTGTGCTTAGAATTTTTGCAATTTAAAGTTGCATCTTTAGCGTCTCTGTCTTCTAAATTTGTGGTATAAAATATGTAGATTTTATAATATAGTTCTTCAATCTCAAAGTTTGAGCTTTATTCTCTGTACAGTATTCAATATGCACTTCTTCAATTTCAAAGTTTGAGCTTTATTCTCTGTATAGCCAATGAGTATGGCTGCTCATCAGAGTGTGGTGGGCAAAAAGGGAACAGTAGTTCCTTCTCTGTAGCATGAGCACTGGAAAGCCTGAGGGAAAAAAAGGATGAGGGGCTCTGAGCAACTCACCTGTGACTCATACACCAGCTGAATTCCTACACCTAGTACTTTATGGCTTCTACCTTAAATGTCACTATGGAATATAGTGTCTCTTGAATCCACAGGCCAACTTCAAGTAACTGCATATATTCTTACATAATCCACACTATCACACATGGAAATGTTTCTCCTAATTTTACTTCAGATATTGAACTATTTACTTTAGGTCTCTATGGGAGAGGAGGGTTCCTCTTTTCTTAACTGTATCATAAGTTTACAGTCACAAACCTGAATCATAGCCTTCCACCCCAAACTCACCCTTCTCCAGAGCTGCCTCTTTCTGTTAATGGTACTCATCTATATTTGAGAACACACCCTAGTCCCATCAATTTCAAAGTTATCAAATCTAGATCCCCTTCTTTTTTAATGCCTAGTAACTCAACAGCCTCCCAGTTGGTCTCTCTGCTTGATCCCACCCTTCTACCCCTTCCTCTCTCAGTCTTGCTGCCAAAGGGAATTTGGTACTTTCAGGCTCCTAACCCAACTCCTTGGCCTGCTATCTCAGGCCTTCAATGGGCTGAATCTAAATATCCACTAGACTAGATGCCTCACTTCTCCCCAGGGAGAATGTGACACTGCAGCTACACTGTACACAAATGGGTGTCTTCCCACCAGAATACTGTAGTGACTCATATTTTTTCCAACTGGAAGGGACTCTTCCAATATTTATACATCCTAACCTCCCAAATCCCACTGAAATATTACCTCAAAACCATCTTCATTATGAAATCTCAGAAAGAATTTCAGCAAACATTTCCATTGCCAATAAAAGTATTATCCTAGGGACGGCCAAATAGCTCAGCAGACTAAAGCACCTGCTTAGGCAGAGCACAGCAGCTGGGGTTCGATCCCTAGTGTGCTATACTGGTCCCACCCCTGGATTGTCCCAATAGGGCAATTGAGACTAGGCGTGGTGGTGTGCGCCTGTAATCCCAGTACTTGGGAGGCTGAAAACAGAATCACTACGAGTCCAAACTATGTGGTGCAACCCTGTAGACCCTGTATTAAATACAAAAAAAAAAGTATGATCCTGATTGAATAAAGGTGGTTTGAGGTAACTGGCATTCTGTGATCATCATAACAGCTAACATTTATTGACCATTTCCAAGGTTCCCAAAAATCCCTACATGTGAACCCCTAATTCACTTCTCAATAATTATATGACACATTCATGACTAATTACACAACTTAACTTACAAATGTGATTACAGATACACAGAAGCTTAATAACTTGCTCAGGTCACAGCAAACTGAGAAGCCTAAATTTAAATGCCAGAAAGCCAGTCTTTGTACTTACTTTCTCAATAATCTAGGATTTTGCCAGGCAACCCTAGAAACTACAATGCTTTCAAATGCTTTTAAAAAATTATGTTCAAATAGAGAAAGAGAGGAAAAAAAACCTCTACAGCCATGATTTTTTTGGCAATCACAAAGGTCGGAAATTGAGAATGAAATTGGCAAGATAACTCCAAGTATATTTTTCACCAGTAGTGGCAATGTCAAGGCCAGACTTTTTTTTTTGCAGTGATAGTGTATGAAGGCCATAATATAAGGTTTATTTTTAATCATTTCCAAAGTAAAAGTGCCCACATGAAGTCATTAAGTAACTGTAAGACCTTCACTGATTTAGGCCTCTACTTGCTAATCTAATTTATAAAGATTTGTTACTAGATGATTTCTATAGCCCACTCTATTTTGAAAATAGTTATGACTAAATTCAGTGATATAAAACAAAATAACCTATCTTTAACTTTACTACTTCACTTTTCTCTTTTGGAGCCTCTTTTGAATAATTATTTATTGGTTCACTCAAAAATACCACACAAAGCATTAAAATGCCTTGTTTCTGCATGGCAATGTTAAGCCATGCAGTTATATGTAAAAGATGAGCAAGGCAATGATCCTGAGAATATTCAGAAGATTCTTTAATCTAGGAGTTAATTGGAAAGATTCTCACCCTGACTAACTATATATACTGATACCTGGGAACTAAGCTACTGCACTGCAGATGGTAATTTGTAACAGTTGTTTCATGACGGGTGTGCCTGTCATTGTGGTATTTTGAATATGGGCGGCTTGTCATGACATGCCATTTACTGCTAAGATGTCTCTAGGGTAGATGGATGTTCAAGAAGAAGGCGGTGGTGAAGGAAAGCAAGAGACAGGAAAAAGAATATTGTGGGACTGTCCTGCTTCAAGGTTGTATATGGTGAGATTTTTGGACTTATGTGCAAACATGAGAAGCATAGAATTCTTTATCCTATTTTTTAAAATATAATCTAATTTTTAAATGTTTTTTTATCATATTATGTAGGGACTTAAAGTTCAACATATCAATACTTGATGAAAAATACCTGTTCCTTATTATGCCTAAGATGTTTGAAATGCAGTGAGATAGTGAGGTTAAGATTGATAGCCCAAATCGTTTGATAATAACAATAAGCTTTTCTTCTGGATGGTTAACAACCTAAGTTTGCAGACCAAATTAGAGAAAAAGGAAGGATACAAGGAAAGCCAATATTTTGGCCCTAACCTTCTAAGGTCAATTAAGACTCAGGACATATGAGAACTTGTACTGTAACGTCATGTACCTCGGTAGTGTCCCAAATTTTCTGATCAAGAAGATTATGGGGCCAAAGAGGAAAGTGATCGATGACGTAGAGTGTGCCTAAGGAGAGTCACATGGGGAGAAGACACTCTCTCAGGCTTTCACAGAGAGCACATTGGCCAAGCAATGGCCGTGACTCATCCACATGGCTGCACTGATAAAGGTTCTACAATCTGAGGTACAGGATCTCA